AGAGGAGGAGGGACCCTGGGAACTTGCGAAATTTATCTACTTGGATATTTACCAAAACTTTTTACGATTCTTGAAAAGATCGAAATGTTGAGTTTAAACAAATTGCGCATTTGTCTATATCTTTCCGTGATGTTTCTCAGCAGCTGCGGTCATGATTGAGGCGCTAACCTCAGTATTTATTTTTTGTTGACAAACGTTCGCAATATCACTATTCCATTGGAGTTTAATTATTCATTCTCGTACTTTCTCTCACCTTGAAGTTAAATTTAACCAGGGTGACATTTTAGGTGTTTTTCTCATTCTTATCGTGTATTCCGTCAGCTGTCAACGTATAAAAGGATTACATGTCGCCATTTTTCTTGTTTCATGTTATGTAAAGTAAACAACATTTTCAGAGTTATCATTGCCGCCCCCAGTGATTTCGCGCTTATTTAAGCCTAGTTGATGTTCTTTAATTCAAAAAAGGCATATACGTTTGTGACCTGCAGTAGCTTTGCCTAATAAAGGACATTCTTTGGTTTGGATTTCCTAATAAGACCACGTACACTTTCGACACGAAAGTTGGTAATGAGAAAAGATGCATATGAGCCCAACAGATTTTGTTCCCAGGTTTTTCTTGGTTGAGACGGAGATGGAGATGTTCATACTGTCATTTTTGTAGTTCAAGACATATTGTCTCAATAGCTGTCAACAGTGTCACTATCACAAGACATGCTGTCACTATTACTGCGCACACTGTCACTATTGTGTTCATACTGTCATTATTGTTGTTAAAGAGGTACACTTCCTAAGGATGCCATATGGACATGGATTAACAGAAATAGATTTAGGGTTTTTTTTTTTTTTTTTCTCTTTTCTTTTTTTTTCTTTTTTTTTTTTTTTTTTTTTTGTAAGTTTGGCGATTGTACGTAAGAGAATGACCTTCTTACATATAGAACAGTAGTGACTAGATTGCAAAACATTACGAAGAGTAAGGTTATTAAAACATCATTTTAAAAATAATAAAACAAGACCCTCTTTATCCCATTAATTAAGTTTGAGAAAAGGTTGGTGTCGAATGATATTTCGAATTACATATTTTAGAACGATCAAAGGAAGTTGTTTAATAAGATAGACGAAAAACAAAAATAATAATTGCGAAAACATAATGACAATATAAATATTAATTTCCTTCTCAATGCATTTTCCAAAATTTGGGCTTAAAATTGTTTATTGCTTTATGAATTCATATAAAAAAATTTGGATAAAGTAGATCGAAGTGCATGTTTTTATATTTTTAGTACTGCTTATTTTTATGTGATAATTTATTTGCATTTGTGCCATATTCGAATATACAAGGTTTACTTAAGACGTAATACCTGTGATTATTGTATGGAAAAAGGATGCTGGATAAGTACATCTAAAATTCCTTCCGTCATAAATTAAAAAATTTACCGATTTTTCTGTATGGAACTTTTGGATATCTTTGAAGAGTTAAAACTGAGTTTAAAAATTTTGCAACTGAAAATTGTTAAGACATTAAGATGTTGAGATATTTTTTATTCATTTTCAATTTTTTTCCATAAAGAAAAACCACAGAAATTGAAGGCAACTAATTTAAAAATTCGAAATAATTGCTTGTTAAATTTTTAATTATAGTTTAAAGATTAGATTTTTGGTACTAGTTTATTCATCATTAAACAATTGTATATGAACTATACTTGGACATTTCCGAATGGGAACATGTCTAAAAGTCTTCAGTAGAATTTTCTTCATCGCTATAATTGTATAATTGTGTTTTTCCTAATAAGATGAGAATGAAAATGAAACATTCGGTATCATGTCTATTAAATATTATCCAATCAGTGTTTATTTTCAAGAATTCAGTGTCTCATGCTTCCCAGTTTTTGTTTAAACGATATAGGTCACATCTGAAGGCCTGGGTTAGATACTTCTACCTAGATATGTTTTGAAATAGTATGCCAGACATATATGCAAAGATAGATTTTATAAATATTTTGAAATCAAAGTTGTCTAAAACTGAATAGGATGTATTTCTTATCACACCAGTTTTCTGCATAAAAATGAAGAAAAACATGGAAATTTTATAATAAAATCAACTCATTTTCCAATGCAATTTTTAATTTATTAAGGAAAAGGTATATACTTAGACAAATGATAATATTATTTAAATTCTTTTAAATAAAGAAAAATAACGATAGTTCAAACTCAAAAATAATTTATATCGAATTTTCTCATTAATCATAACCGCTGAAATACATTTTAGACAAATTTGGAACTTTCAATATGTGGCAAACAAATGCGCATATTTAAATTCAAGAATCCTTTATGATTTCTTATTTATGATTTCTTAAATTTCTGTAGATGAATAACTGTCAAATGCACGTGAATCATTATTGCTGTTCTTTCAGCAATTATTTTTTAGGTAATAAATTCATTGATATTGTTTTCTAATCACACAATAATTTGCCTTTTTAATAGAAATATGTAGCTTATTTTTATTTATTGAAAAAACCTTTAACTTTATATTTACGCCGAAATGTGAATTTCTAACTTTGCGGAAAAACAGTTCTTTTTAATAGTCTTGTAGTATTGCATATAATAAAATGCTTTTGTGAGGAGGGAAATTCATGCCATTCATTTATTAACAAAAACATTATTCATGAAATGCTTTTAATAAATGGGATTTTTTAATAAGTCTTGTAAATCATTGGCTCTACTCATTCTAGGCATAGTCAAAGATTTTAAAATCATAACAATTTATAAAGAGTATAATCTGTGTTACCAACAAATATTCTGTATCGGTTTAATTGTTTTGCATGCATGATAAATATTCTTAACACTACTGGTAACTGTTAATAAATAATTTGATCAAAATCAATCTCAATGAAATAAATTAATTAATGAAATAACTTAATTTTTTGGGCTAAAATTTTGCAGAATGATATGTTTAGCTTTTACGCATTAACACGTCAAGTTTAAAAACGTTATAAGCGTCCCGCGCTTGGTCGACAGTCACAGACTTGAAGGCAAAAAGCAAAAACAGACGAAATGCTACTCAATCTTGGTATGGTGTTTGGTTGCAAACGGAAAGAGTCAAATAAGCGGACTTCAGAAACCAATGGCCGAAAAGTGAGGATTGCTTACATTGGATCATCCATAAATAAAGAAGTATTCATTTATAGGGCAAAATCCCAATTTAACGAAAGAAAATGTTTCTGAGAAACTTCATTCAACCCATTCAGAGGCCCGAAGAGTTACAAATGACAAAATCCAAGAAGTCACACATGACGAAAAATAGATAGTTTAGAAGTATAAAATATAAAAAACACTTTTCTGATAAAAACATGATACCATATGAAACATTCATCAAGAAATATAATGCTTTTTTTTGTGTGAAATATAGATGGAATTACCTATTATGAGCTTCTTGAATAGGTTAAAAAAAATTAAGAATAGGTATTACCTATTCAAGAAGGAATTACCTATTCATTTGGAATTACATATTATGAATTCTAGAGATAATCACATTGACATGAAAAAACAAGCAATTGATGAAAACTGATTATTACTGGCATTAAACTGATTATTACTATTATTGTTATTATTAAACAGATTGCTATTACTTATTATAATTATTATTAAACAGATTGCTATTATTATTATTATTATTATTAAACAGATTGCTATTATTTATTATTATTATTATTAAACAGATTGCTATTATTTATTATTATATTATTAAACAGATTGCTATTATTATTATAATTATTAATACACAGATTGCTATTATTTATTATTATTAATAAACAGATCATCATTGCTTGTCTAAAACAGATTATTACTACTACATATTATTATTAAGAAAATTAACATTTCATCACTACCACATATCGTTATTAAGAAAAAAAATATGTTTTTCAGTCATGGCAGCACTCACACAGCTGGGCTGTGCGAGAATGATCAGTCTTGTCATTATTTTTAAGCAGTATTGTAAGCCTTCAAATGCTTCTTGGCAGGTTTTTAATCTCTTATGTTCAGATGTGTTTGTGGTGTATGATTGTGTTTGTGGTGTACCCATTATTGAACAGCAATAACAAAAGCAGTCAGAACACATGATTGGTATTGTTTAGTAATAGCATTTCTTATTAAAAAGTGCAAAAATTTGCATTTCATTTCATCGATTAACGCTTATTTGGGAATTTGAAAACTTCTGTTTGATGTTATAGTGATTTTCTTAAATGACGTCTGAGAAGGTATAATTCATAATATTATAAACTCATTTGTTATTTAATTAAGAATCCTTATAGGCTTTTAACTAAAGATTAATTAAAATTTTGTTCAGAAATCTTACTAATTAAAAATAAAATTGTTTTATTTTACTTTTGTAGAATTTCGTTTATAAAAACCTTGCAGTAAGAGTTCATTTGAAAAGGGAAATGCTTTTATTTCTATCCAACTCAGTTTCCACATGCAAATTCATTTCCATTACTAATTAATTTTATTAAGACTTAATGCAAATAGTTATACATTGCTTTGTGAAACAACCTTGTTTACAAGACTGCTGCATCAGCTTTTCTTATGGATTATTTAGCCCGTTTCACAAAAATGAATAAATACTATTTCCTGACATATTTCATCAACGTTATAAGCTAGATATTTATGTATATATATATGCATAAATTTCTTGCATATATATATATATATATACATATGCAATATTCAATATTTTCAAGGAAATAAAGCTTGAAATATTCATTTTGGATTTTATGAAACACGTAAAATCAGATTAAGTAGGTCGCCTATGAAGCGAAGTTAAGTTTTAAGTTTACCAAGTAAAAATAAATGCTTGAAAAATATGATTATTGTATTTATAATTTTTGCCAAGTCAACAAAAAAGATGAATGTCATTTTATCAAAAAATTCTGATAGTAATTATTCTTATACTAGAAAAAGTCTGTAACAGCATCATACTAAAACTGTTTCAAATTTTGTTTTAGGTGAAGACATGGTAATACAGCCGCCCAATCCGTAAGTTAAATTTTTTGTTCTGTCTCAGCAAGAAGTATTTTTCTAAATTTCAGGCTCTGTTATAAATTAAAATATTAATATTTTTGTTTTGAGTTATTGATGTAACTATTAAACACAAAAATTTTCGTATTTTTGTTATTATATGCCTTTATAACTTGATAAGTTATTATATGCCTTTTATAAGTTAAAGCGTCAATGTAATTATTACGGTAAGATACGCACGAATAGTGTAATAAAATATAATTGCTATTGAAATAATACTAAAAAGCTGTATGAATGTTATAGGGTTTTATCATTAAGAAAATAAGACAGGTATATTTTAGCAATGACTGTAATGACTAAAATCTGTATGAAAGGTATTTATATAAAATGTACATTTTAATTGTATTAACTACGTGAAATCAATAATTATTAAGTATAATAACAATAATATATACTACTCGTTTCGAATTAGAACATTGAATGATAGCTCATGTGTTTTGTTGGTATCATCAGCCTTTTCATTTTACGACCTATGCAGAGAAATTCAAAAGTTTCTTTAGATTCCCAGAATTTGCTAAGGTATCTAATTAATTTTCTCCTTGGAAAGCGTCGTTATATTTTAGCAAGCTTTTCACGGATCAAAATGTAGATAATCCTTGATGCTTTGCCGTAAAATCTTTGTATCTGGAAATAAGCCCTGTGATTATTTTTCTGGCACAGTTTCACTCAAGAACAAAACGACTTCCGAACTTAAATGAACTAAAATGAATTGCTGAAAATTACTCTCGAAGAGCATTGTCAGGAAGCTGCTATTGAAGAGCTGCTTTCATGTAAATTCGCCAAATCGGGCAGGGACACTAGCAGCATGCGGTCAAACCTTGATATTTCGTGACTTTCTGGATTGTTTAAAGTATGATATGTTAAGCAGAGTACTTTGTAAAGCTGAGTATTTCGTAAGTAGGGAACTTTGCAAAGCTGGGTGTTTAAGAGCTTCTCATTAAATTAAAGTTTTAATCTCAGGAAAGGAAAAATATTTTATTAACATAGATGTTATTTTTACTTTGTTTTAAGTAACTATCAATATAATTTCGATTACACATAAAATTATTAATAAAAATACCTACCTAAATATCTGCATGTCAACTTTATGTCTTAAAACAACAAAAAATAAGCTATTTTGAACTCCCGCTACTCAGGAATTATATGAACAGCCAGTTAAAATACACTTCACATTAGAATTGGAAATAATGCCGATTGCATTACATATAAGAAAGGAGACAGTAAGCAAATTCAAGTTCGCCATTATCTTATATCTGGTCGAAATCTGTGAGGTAAATAAATTCATTATTTAAATAGTTTTACTTAAAATTTTAAAAATATCACAAAATTTTTTTTAAAAAATCTGAAAGCTTTCAGATTTTATTTTACGCCCAAACGGACCTTTTTTTTTAACGTTTTGTGTGTTACCTTTATTTATTAAATATCACATTCTTCGCACTTAAACCACAAAACTCAATTCAACAGCAGTATCACAAAATATTTAAAAGAGCATATCTTTAGAATTTCCGATACACAGATAAAAATAGATAATCTTTTTCCCGTACAGTGTTACCATTGTTCGCTTCGAAATTGTTGAATTTGTGAATTGCTTTAGAATATGTGAAACACATAATAAAAAAAATTCCAAATTTGGGCTTTCAGATGCCCATATTCGGGTGGAGACGTACGTTTTTCAAAATTTGATGATTCTAGGTACCGTTGTTTTATAACAATGCGATAAACATGCATACATTTATGCAGATTCTTCAATATTTAATTTCTTTAAATATAATACAGGGCTCTAATATTTGGTGACAACAATTTAAAAAGTGATTCTCTGTTTATACTGAATCAACGCAAGATGCCAAAACGAAATTAATAGCCCTTCTTTGCAAATTGCCCATTTGGAAAACTCAAAAGTTAATTGCCTCTAATGAACTAAATTGCACCTAATGAAAGCTCGAAATGACATAGTAAGCAGTTTTTCCCTAGTTTTCACATAAAGACAAATTCTGATTAAGTTACGTATTTAAGGAATTAGGAGATTTCGGGGCTTCGTGAAAGGTAAACGATAAGCGGAGTGATGGGATATCCAGTTGACCGTAAAGAGGCTTTCCCTGTACACCTTTTCTGCGTTGAGGAGAAGGTAATTCCGATTAGACGTCATGAAAAGGCTTGGGTTGTATTTATAGTGCATTGCGGAAACGAAACTAGCGAAAGCTGGCTAGTTTCGTTTGGATTCAGAGGAAAGCTATTAAATTGATGATGTGTGGGCTTTTACGAGAACCGACGCGCTGCTTAAACGTTCCACAGTTGAAGGTAAGAAGAAGAAAGCTTTCAAAAACAAATAAAATAAAAAAGTCTTTGTGTGCGGATTCTCGGAAAGAATTAGCTGACGCAGAAAGGATTCACTTGGCAGTGTTTCTTGCTGTGCTTGGGCAAGTTGGTATGAATGTTAATGTTAGAGTGCATTCATTATGCACTTATTATTATTACTTTTCTGCTATTATTGCAGTCAAGGTTTTTACTTACTGACTGAAAATCGATTTCGATGGATGGATTTTACTTAAATTTTGCTTTTCCACGGAATCTTTTTATGCTCAAAATTCTTTTTGCGGAATCATGTTTCTTTTCATAGTTCAGCACGGATTCCTTTCTATGTCATAGATTCCTAGCTGGTAGCACCGCCTCCCCCCAGTGGGCTCAAATTAATATATATCAAAATATTGATTTCATGAATATATATATATATATATTGTCAAGCTATCTGAAATTTTTATCTAATTGTTATAGCGTAAATACGCATTAAAAGAATTTAATTTAGCATTAGATATATGTAGACCTTACTGAGTTTTGAACTGTCGGTGGCAAATCTCCGCAGACTGGTGATTCACGCGAATAATCATGTTCTGACAAAAATGTGGGAGCTTATGATGACTTGCTTACGTAGAAAGTGCACTGACATCGAAAATAAACAAAGGCATACAAGTTGATGCGTGTACGAAATCAAATCTATAAAAGACAGGGATAGCTCTACGATTGTCTCATTTCTTACTGTTCTTCGTCTGCAATCCATATTCGTGAGAGAAAGTGGTAGAACCGCTATTATTGTTATAAATTTGTTGTAAAGTTAATTTATTTAAACCGTGATAAGTTTTGTATTTCAAAATATCTAAGCAGAATGCCGGCAGCACAGTATTTGAAATGTCGATTTACGTGCTCTTCTATAGACCAATTATTACCTATCTGTTTAATGTGTCAAAACATTTTTCCAAATGAAGCTTTTTTAGTTATAAGAGTATTTGGATAAAATGCATGCTGATAAAAATGGAAATTTCCCAGCCCTTGAAAATGGGAAAAAATTTGCAAGGGCTGGGTAAAAATTTTTAAAACAGCGGACTATAAAAATAAGTAACATAAGAACTAATAAAAACATAAGAAACTTTCAGATGTCATCAGAAAATTTCCTCTAGATAATAATTCGGTGCAAACAAAAATAGATGAATTGGCTTGAAGAATTACAAATATCATTTTAACATATCATTATTTTTTTTCCAGCATCTACTGATAGTACTCCAACAGAGATTGGTTTCATAGCGTTTTTGAAACAAGCATTACCAAATCTATTCGTTGTATATTATGATACTCATCATCAGCATTTTTTTGAAAAAAGTCTCAATACGTCACTTCATTGTATTATTAGAGCAGTCAATAAGATTAGAAGCAATTCATTATATGGCAGTATACGTCACTATAGCTATTATATGGCTGTATACGTTACTTCATTGTATTATTAGAGCAGTCAATAAGATTAGAAGCAATTCATTATATGGCAGATTATTTGGTCAATTTTGTAGTGAAAAATGAAGAAGATTACAATCGCATGCTTCTGTGCATAGAAGTTCGTTGGCAGATATTTGCCTGAATCGTTTTTCTGGACTTGAAAATGGAGATAAAAAACTGCGTGAAAACCTGATTACATCCAAAAATAATATCACATATTTGACTTGTTTAACTTGTTTAAAATATTCAATAAAGTCAGTTTACAGTTACAAGATGATTAATTGAATTTGATTAAAATAAAATTCGTCATTGCTGCTTTTGTGGGAACATATATTCTGCTCAATCGAAATCTAGGTATAGGTAAATACAACCACTTTTCGCACATTTTCAAGAATCTGTGCAAAACAGGAAGATTTACCTACTTACTGCCAACACTTCTTCGCTTTTAACCACTGTGCTTGCTCAAATATTAGGCTCCTTTCTTGTTATAATTTTGTTCTAAAATTTGGTAGGATCTTATAATTACGTATCTTAATAAATGAAATTGCAGAATGAGATGGAGGTGCTTAATTATTATACAGTATAGAATAATTACTCTGATGATTAAATACTGAACAAACACACTGTTAGTTACCGTATATATAAAATCAGTTATAACTATAACAGCCACGTCTAATTGAGGGACTTCAATTCAGACCTGCTTCAGTTACTGGTGTAACTTGAAAACAATTAAGTAATAACGTGTGATTAGTTCTTCCTAATTTTTCTTTTTATGCCGTAATAAAATTTGTATTTAATTTGTAAGCTCGCTTTATTTCCTAATTAGAAACAAATGATTTCTTATCAAAAGCTCCCGTCAAACACTCATCTCTCTCTTTTTTTTTTTTTTTAATTTATCACAAAATTTAAGGGGCTTTTTATATTCGAAGAAGTTTTATTTTCACATATATATAGTTAGCAGGTTGTTTATTTCTTTTTCAAAGCATCTATTGATTCTGTAAATTAGTTTTAGTCTAAATAGGATTAGGGCAATTCAGTAGTTTTTCCTCATAGCTCGTAGTCCCAAATAAACTGTTGATATTTCATTTTGTAACCAAAGAGATCGGTATCCATATTTTAAGAATTTTAATTCTTCATATGTTGATAATTTAATCATTTCTTCTTGCAGAATTAAACTTGAACTTTAATTATTTAAA